CTCTTTTCCCACTGTGAGTTTCGTAAGCTGTGCATTCAGATTTGAAATTTGGATGTTATCAACATTTGATTCAATTTTGTACTTCAAAATTATTGATTTGATCTTGATTTGCTTTGAGATTCAAGGTTAAAAAAACAATTCTAAAAATCAGTGTTTCTTAGAAAGAGAATAGACAGTTGCTATGAAAAGCAAAAAAGGTCAGGAAAGTTTTGCAAGGAAATCAAATGGCTGTGAAACTGATCTGCTGAACCTTGGAAAAGAATGTTTGTGTGGGATTCTGTGGTTTTCTAGTTAAAGAAGTATACTTTTCTTTGTTGAATGTATGTCGGAGGATGGAGCTTATAATTGTAGCTGATTCAATAATCAGATGAGAGCAAGCAGATAGAGTCACATTCCTCAGCTAGCAGCTCATTCTTAACTAATAACCTTGGAAAATGTAACTAGGATTTTTCAACCACAAGAAGCAATAAAACTAACAAAAATTAGGGGGGGGGGGTGGACTGCAAGGGAGAAGCGAACAAACAAATCAGTCTTAGCATTTGCTGGAATGATGAGTCTTAAGATAATAGTGACATTTAGCACCAGGTTTGACTATTTAACTGAGTATCATGCTAATTTCATATTTGCAAATGTAGGCATCTCTCTGGCCAGAAGGTGTAAGTATGGGAAGCCTGCATTTCTTTTTTTAAGATTCATCGGAAATGGTGAAAATCACACAGATATTGCACATAGAGCTTTCCATGAAAGCCAGAAGAAAGAATACAGGAGGAGGAGGAGGATCTGAAAAGAAAAAGAAGGCATCATATTGGGAGCAATGAATATAAAGATACATGGCAATAAATAGTGAATGAACTAGAACAGTGATGATGAACCTTTTAGAGACCGAGTGCCCAAACTGCAACCCAAAACCCACTTATGTATTGTGAGATGCCAGGTGGGCGTGGCCCATTGGGTGGGCATGACCCATTGGGTGGGCATGGCCCATTGGGTGGGCATGGCTTTGGTGGTAACAGCAGACTGGGTGGGACTAAAAAGTTCAATCCATTCCAACTTTGCGAGATTTTTTTTTTCTGCGAGAAGTTGAAATTGATTGATTGAACCTTTTTTTTTTTTTTTGCACACGGCGGCAGAGGCCTAAAGCGAAAAGGTTTTATAAAACCCAGCTGAAGGCCTAGGACTGGGGCGATGGCGTGCGTGCCCACAGAGAGGGCTCTGCGTGCCACCTGTGGTACGCATGCCATAGGTTTGCCACCACAGAACTAGAAGATGGTCCATGTCACTACAGTGGACCAACTGAGTTGAATAGCCTCCTAAATCAAAATTATAAACAAATCTGACAGCAAACAGAGAAACTCAGAACTATTTATGCATAATTCCCTCCATTTAGAGAATTTTATTTTGAAAGCCAGTTTTGTGTAGTGGTTAATGCATCAGGCTAGAACCAGGGAGACTGAATTATAATGCCACCTTAGGCACAAAGTCAGCTGGATGACTTTGGGTCAGTCACACATACTCAAATCTTAGGAAAGAGGCAATGGCAAACCACTCTGGAAAACCTTGCCAAAACTGCAGGGGCATCCAGGCTGTTGTGGAAATTAAAGCAACTAAAAAGCTGAGATAGTCAGACACTTGCAAAGTAATGGGGTGCATATGTCAGACAAATGAAGATATAGATAAGATTTGGGGGAGGATTAAGGATCGTAAAAGAAACAAGAAAAAAAAACCCACAACAATCTTTCTCTCCAAACAAATCTTCCTAAACAAATTCTAGCTAGGATATAAAGGTCAGAAGAAAGCTATAATAATAAGAGCAAGCCCTGCCCTAAATGTGCTTGGAAAAAGCAAGTCTGGCTAATCCTATCAATTTTAGAGAATTGTCACAAAAATCAATTCTCCCTCCCTTAAACTTTTGGCTAGATATGGAAGTGGTTGCAGCACTGGTAAAACCAGCCGAAACAAGAATTGAAATAGAAGTGAAAATTTCCATCTAGCCAGCAAAGAAATTGAATGCATGGAGTCAAAATGGGCAACTTCAACATGCTTGAGTTATTTTAAGATTTGTGTGAATGATTAACATTTTATTGAATCAAGACACCCCACTATAGATCTGCTCTGACCTTTTTCCCCATGGCTCTTTCAGGAGCATGTGAATAAGTGTTTCCACCAGCTGCTGTTTGAAGAATTTGTTTTATAGTCAATCATCAGACACATAAAGCATATTTCAAACTTGAAAAGGAGTCTGCTCATTCTTTTCTCTCGAGATATCTTCAGCAGGGCATTTAAATTTACTTGATTCAGAATATAGATGTGAAGGAAACCAATCCATATGGAAACTCTTAAGTTTTGCACAGCTGCTTTAATTGTTGCTTGAGACTAATCATGAACTAGCTAAGTACTGATGAGCAGCTTCAGATAATTCAGGCAATCTTCTCTTTTCTACAAAATATCACGTTTCTTAAAAATGTTTAACTTTTTACTTCAGAAATAAGTGTTCTATATTGCCATACAAACAAACATTGTAGCTCTTTTGAATCCCTACAGGTGATATATTCCACACTATAAAAAACTTGCAACATCCTGTGATGTTTTGCTGGCAATGGGGTGGGCGCAGTTTCAGTATGACGCATCCAGCCCGCCTGTTATAACCCCTTTCCAAAATAGACAGTGATCCAAATATATTTGTTTGTTTTTTATTAAATTTTTATTGTTTTTTATTAAATTTTTATTTTTATAAAGGAAAAAAAGATTAAAAACATTGAACATGGTAAATCTCTGTCTTATCAGTCCATATTGTACATTAATTACATATAATATATCTATATACAACTGTACATTTCTAGTCTCTGTCTTGACTTATATCTTTGCTGTGACCTCCTTTTTTTTCCTCCATCTATAAAATTTATTCCATATTTGATAAAATTCTGCTTCTTCCTGATTTTTTAATCTTTTAGTTATCCTGCCTAGTTCTGCGCAATACATAATTTTCTTTATTAGTGCTTCCCCACTCGGTACTTCCATTGCTTTCCACTTTTGAGCAAATACTATCCTTGCCGCCGTAACCACGTGAATGATTAGATATGTGTCACCTTTATTTACATTTTTCCCTAGTATTCCTAATAGTAATGCCTCAGGTTTGTATTGAATGTTTTGCCTAGTCATTTCTATTGCCCATTCCCAGACCATACGCCAATACATCTGTGCTTCTCTACATGTCCACCATACATGAAAAAATGTGCTCTTTTCTTTTTTACACTTCCAGCACATAGGTGAGTATCTGTTATACATTTTGGCTAATCTGGCTGGAGGGAGATGCCATCTGTAAACCATCTTATACAGGTTTTCCTTATATGATGTCACCAGTGTGATTTTATTATTTCGTTCCCATACTTGCTGCCATTGATCCATATTTATATTATATCCTAGATCTATTGCCCATGTCACCATTGTTTCTTTAACCTGCTCCTCATATAGCTTATATTCCAACAAGTATTTATAAATATTCTTTGTTTTTTCTCCGGGCCTAGCAATATTTTATCTAACCCCGTATCTTGTCTGTTAATACCCACTCTTGCTTATCCTTCATGTATCTTGCTTGTATCTGGAGATAAGACCACCACTCCAGGTCTATTCCTTGTTGCCTTAGCTCTTGTTTTTGTTTTAAATAACCTTCTTCTGTCAAACTGTCTTTATATGTAATAGCCTTGTCTTTCCTATACAGTTGTCTGCATAAGCTTGAAGTTTGTATGTTTCTTTCTTAACCATAAGTCCTTTAATCTGCTCTTCTTGCCTTGCTACTCTAGCTAGAATTTCTAATGTATATAAAATAACAATGGCGAGAGAGGACATCCTTGTCTTGTGCCTTTCTGTATGTTGCACGGCAACTGTCATCCTGTTATCGAATTTACAAAAGAAGGACCTGTTAATTAAATACACCAATAGATACAAACATATAACAGAGCAGCAAAATGACCAAAAAGGCCTGGAAAATTGTAACATAAATGCAAAATACGTGTCCCCCAAATTGGTCAAATTTTATTTTAAAATTCTTTGTCTCTTCGTTGAAAAAAAGAGGCTTTAGAAGAAAATCTTGATATCAAGGTCCAGGTTTTGGTAGACTCAGTTAAATAAACAGACTCAGTTAAATAAACAGTTAATGATTATAGCTACTTCCTTGAAACTTTATCCATTATAAAATATCATAAGTGACATGGAATAAGAAATGTAGGAAATCCAGCCCTTGGCATCTCCAGCTTCTATACAGGCTGACACTCTGCCAAATCACAACATAGACAAATTTTCCTTAACCTGGTGCCCTTCAACTACATTTAAAGGGTCAGGATTAGCTGATGTACATTGTATTAAGTTACCTGCCAGAGAAACCACTGTTTTGGATCAAAGTGCTGTTTATATTCTTAAGGAGAAACAATAACAATAAAATCTGATCTGTTAGCTGTTCTGTTCCATAAAAGGAACAGAAGTGAAGGAATCATCTGGGAGCATTTTAAGCAATATAAACTAATTATTTTATCTACTTCATGCAATAGAAGTGACAGAACAAAACAGTGGAGTTAAGCCATCACAAAGAACATACAATTGGTAGCTACTCATCCTCCCTCTGTCGCGTGTTGCCATTTTCTAACTGCTCCTATTTCGCAAGCAACTTTTTTCAAAAATTGCTCCTACTCTACTTCATTCTGGAAACTTCTACTACTTATGGGAAAAGCTTCGGTCCCTTTAATTTCTACCCTTCGAACTGTTGGAGGCGGCGCGGGAGTAAAGCTTTTCTTCTTCTTCTCCTCTCAACAACGACAAAAAATCCTGCCAAACTATCTTCTTTCTCTTTTGTCTGGCACAACTGCCCAGTCTCTGCAGGCACAGCGAAATGGGCGACTGTGCTGTACGTGCTCTGGTCCACATCGGCTCACCCAGCCTCTGCAGCTCGGTTCCCTTCGTTCTTCGCCCTTCCCTCACCGGGCCCAGCAGTTGCTGAGCGCTGGGAGGGCGGAGCAGAGCGGCGCGCCGCCTTTGTCACTCTGCGCGAAGCCCAATCGGCCGGGAAGTGCTGCTTCTTGCGGAGCGGATCATCCGCCAGAGCCGTTCAACATGTTTGGAATGATCAGAAATTCCCTTTTTGGCACCGCGGAGGTTTGGCCTTGCCGAGTTCTGAACAAGGGGGAGAAGGTAGGAAAGAGGACGGGGTCTGCACAGGGCCACAGGAATCCTGTTGGTCCCTACTCGACTGAACAAGGAAGTGGAGCCTCCCAGAGGGAGCGACAGGAAGAAATGGGCACCTGGGGGCTTCATTCATTCACATTGTCGTGTGGTGTGTAGTGCAAATCGAGCCAATTGTGGCTTAACCAAAAGCGATTAAGCAAGAAATAGCTTAACAGACTTCATACAATAACCGAGTGACTGCTAGAATGGGTAATATTTGCTATTGCTGCCCGTTAAGGAAAAGTTGTTCTACTCTTTAATTCAGTCAAACTCAATCTGATGTGATCCAGATGTTTTGAAAAGAGCTAATCACAGTCCCCAAAGGACCAACTCTTTAACAATTCAACAAGCCTGGGCAACAGGCCCCTTGTCAGTCAGCAGGACTGTTGCTTTACCACCAGCTTATCAGGAATTTAGGAGTGGAGGACTTGGCAGCACAAGGAAACAACAGCCAATGACTTAATAGCTGGCCACCAAAACCCCAATTAACTAGTAAAAGCCACACACAACCAGGCACCACATAAATACTATGCATAGAATAGCTCAATTCACACATTCTGGTAAAAGAGAAGTTCCCTGAGGATGGGCTCCAGCACAAGTCCGAAAGCTTGGAAGACTGAACCTCTGGTCCCAGTGACCGACTCAGATTGGATCTTTAACAGTTTGTGAAAAAAAGTGAAAATACTCTTCTCATCTGAGGGAAACTATTCCATAAAGAGAGGCCAACAGAGTATGTTCGTTCCAACCTGCTTTCTGTCATACCACACAGGGCAATGTGTCTGTGCTTTTAACATGCATCCTCGGCCCACTAATCTTGAGCTGTTAGATTCTATTTGGAGTAGGTAGTCCTGAAGAAAATCAGACCACAAGCTGCATAGGTTATAACCAGCAACCTCAATTCCATTTGGAAACAAACAGCAACCGTACTACTGTACTACTATAACAGTAGCCTTGAATTCTCTCTATTAGCATGTGAATATTAGCATATTCTGTAATTGAATTTTGGGACAGTCTTCAAAGGCAGATCCTTGTTGAGTGAGTTATAGTAGTCCAAATAGGATGTCACAAGTGACCATTGGCAGCAGCTCTAATTCCAAGAAAGACTGTTACATTCAAAACTGGGGAATGCTTTCCTACCTATGGCTTCCATCTGACCTTTAACAGGAGCTGAATGAGAACTCCAGAAAGGTTCTTTCAGGGAGAGCACCACTCCTGTAAAGCTCAAGTTGATACCATCTTGGAATCCATTGTTTCCTGAATCAACAACTCTTTTGTCTTCCCTTATGTGAGCCTCAATATGATTCTCGACCCTTATGGCCTCCAGATACAATTTCCAGCACATATTCCATTTGACCTATGTTGAGGATGCAAAATTATCTGTAGTTGCAATTTTTGGAAGTATTTTACATGACATAGCAAGCCACATATCTTAAATCCTTTATAGCTCCCAGTTGTAGGCTTGTGACTGCAACTCTTCCATCTATACAATGTGAACAGTTTCTTTCTTGTATGAACTTAATTGCACCCTGAGGAATAACACATGCACAGCCCAATCCTTGTACTGTGATATGGAAAACCAACAGCCTAGATGCTAGTCAAATCTTACATTTTCTTTCTATGAAAGGCATAGAAGGCAAATTACTAGCTATTTCACAACTGGTAGTGTTTTCTCCTACTACTCAGCATGAATGTGTGTGTTCCAAATCTATCATGTAGTTGCCACATTTGTATCCCACCTTCCCCTAAGGAATTTAGAATAGTTTGTTTAGTGTACAAATAAATGAGAATGAAATAGAACAGAAGTTCTATGTGTATATTGAAAATCTACACTGATTGCATGGAGTTGTGTGCCTACAACTCCGCTGATGACCCCAATGATAATTCTGGGCTTAAAATAGCTCTTTCCAGCCCTGCTTCTCCCAATGTTGTGCCAATGCCAACATGACCATGTTTCAGGAAGCAGGCTATATCAGCAGTCTTTTCATAGCCATCTTAAATATGTGCCTGTGTTTTGTTTAAGGATTCATGGGGACAGGGCCAAAATTTTCACCCCTACTTAAGGTTTAATACAATTTTTTTACAGCCATGACACAGTTAAAAGAATGGCCCTAAACTCAACTGCTGCTGAAAAACATTGTTGCCAAAGTCATGCAGGGAAAGCTTATAAGCTTCTAGGGCTGCATACAAGTTGCAGGTCCCTCATTGTTTTTCTTTTAAAATATATAATTGTATTGAACATTTTAAACACAAAACAATTGATATAAACTAAAATATAGGAAAAAAAGAAGGAAAAAACAAGAAAATAATTAGAGGTGCATCATGGTTTCATACAGGATTTTTTTATATATAGTGTGAGCCTGGACATGCCAGGAAGAAAACTTGGTACCTCTAGAGCTGTGCAGTAGCATGGGCCCTGCTGAGTCCCTTATCCACCTTTGGTGGATAACCCCAGAAAAGGTGTCATAGCTGCCATCACCTCAGGTCTCAGAAAAATTCAGCTTCACCCTTACCACAGCTTTGCTTGAAAACTGGTTTTCTCTATGCTTCTCCTATAAACTGGCTCACTGAAATCATGTAGCTATTTTCATTCTCCATCTTGCTTATGTCTTTCAGATATCTTCCTCCTTCTTGGTCTCCTCCAAAGAGTCCTTTCTCAATTCCATCTCTCTCTCTCTCTCTCCCCCCCCCCCTTCATCCCAAGGCAAAGGTTTTTCTGACAGAGGAGAGAGGTGGAGTGGGTGTAGAGTTAACCTAGACACAATTTCCCTTCCACTTGGTATTGCCTGCCTGGTTGAATTGGGAGAAGGGAAGCTATGACTTGCCTGAATGAGTGTGGGGTGCCCAGTCACCTGAAAGAGTTATTTTCCTGGCAAAGTATGTGCTTTACCATATCAGCAGCCTTTGCCGAGCTATGTGGAAGAGGACAGCAGAATGGTCTTGATATTCTGAAGGTAGCTTCAAGCACCTTATTTCACAAGCAGTATCAGAATTAATAAAAAGGGCAATTGAAATAATAAACATTTTATAAAGGAGGTCTGTACACACATACACAAATAAGGAAACCCAATCAAACATGCAGCAATTGGGGCCATTCTTTTTCTGCATGACAGCCTGCCAGCCATGGCCTTCTCTCAGATGCTCAGTTCCACATCTGTCCCATTTCTTGTATATATTTTTTCCTCAAATACATCGTGGCAAGTAAGCAAGTCTGTACCTCATTGACTTGTAATGGAGACAGCAGTACTGCTGCAGATTTTCTTTTTAAACAGAAGATAGTTTTGCAAACTTCTGCACAATTATATACATAGTTTCCAACACTTAGTACCTGTTGGAGTGATTGAGGCCAGTTCTCTAGTTCTTGGTGGATATTCTGTTGTGAAGAAGTAGTTTTGTTTGCTTAATATTAGCATTTATTTATTGCATGTACTTTATATAATTCTTTAATTTGCTTACATGTAGTTGTATAAATATTTATACTGTAATTATTACAGTATATATGTCATCCATTGGACAATTGGTGGCAATTGGACAGGAGATGGGAATCAGGCTAGAACAGAGTTCTTGGCTCATTATTGCCTCTCTGACAATAATTGTAAAGCATAACATGTAGAATGCTGTTATGATTAGAATTGGGTTAAAGATTAAATGGGATTTATTTTTCAAAACTACACTTTGAATAGGAAACTTATGTGTAGATGATTCATTATCTCTCTCAAAGAGCTTTCTAGTTCTCAGGAAAGTAGCCAGCCTATATATTACTTCTTGCAATGAGCTGCCCTTTTTGTATGAATATGTATAGCAATTGCATCAATTGGTCTTTTTTTAAAAAAAAAAAAATCTCTTGGAATACTAGGATGATGTAGCCTATGAGGAAAGGACATACGAAGGTGGGATGTTTGCCAGTGTTGAACTCTCTGGAAAGCCCTTTGATGAGGCTTTACGTGAAGCAGTGCTGAAGCTTCTTAAATATGTTGGAGGAAGCAATAATCAAGGTGAGGTTCCCTTTTCAGGAGAACTATACTCAGTTGCTTAGCAGTATATTTGCAACACTTAAAAACCTATTTGTAGATGAACATAATTTTGTTTCTCAATGAAGAAGAACCAATTATTCATTTACTATCAGGAGCTGGCATGGGGATGATGGCTCCAGTGTGTAGCACAGTCTTTCCTGCAGAGGACGGCTTATTGCAGCACAAAGTGAAAGTTCTGCTACGGATTCCAAGCCAGTTCCAGGACAACCCCCCTTCACCGAGTGATGAGAGCATCCAGGTTGAGAAAAGGGAAGAAATGGTTGTTTATTCTACGTAAGTGTCTTTAAACAAGTTTGATTGAAGGACTCATAGATTTGGCCATGGCTGCAATTAACTATCTTTAAATTGGTGCTTCCCAGATGTATTCAACCTGAAATCTTATCATCTTTTCTAACAAAGCTATTGACCTTGGCTATAGAGCGTATGAGAATTGAACAACTGGGGAGCACAAGATTTCTAGAAATACTTTTGGATTTTATTATCTGTCTTAATTTTTAATATTCAGCAAACTATAATCATAGTTAACTTTGGATCAGTGAGTTGTCTGAAGTGTTTATTTCATCAAGCAGTGGTACAAAGCATTTTTCTAATAGCACAACCCAAAATATAATTTTAATTTCACAACAGCTGCCATATATTTCAAAAGACTGTCTCTGTATCAAGGCACGATTCTTATAGATGCAAGGATCAAATGGGAATTATAGCTACCCTATTGAAACATTAGCTTTTAAGTTAATTAATTTACTAAAGTACACAAAGTAATCTGTTTGTTCTAATTTGTTTACTATTTATATATAACTTTTAATCATTCACTCTTTTTCCTGTCAAATATAAATACTGTCATCTCTGATAACATTCATTTTCAGATTCCTCTCCCTGGAATTCATTCACACATGATTTATGCTGATCACACGTGATTTTTTTTTATTGTTGTTTTTTTCCTCATAGGCAGTTTGGAGGCTACGCAAAAGAAGCAGACTATGTGAATTATGCAGCCAAGCTAACCTCTGCTTTAGGAAATGAGGCATCGTTCTGCAAAGACTTCTATTTTTGCAATGGTTATGATCCTCCCATGAAACCTTATGGGCGGCGCAATGAAGTTTGGCTGTTGAAAAAGTGACCAAATAAAAAAGCTGTCCCAATTTCTTGAAGGAACGCTAGGAAAAAATCCACAAATGCCATGGAAAGCAATGAAAATGATAAAATGAAAACTAAGACAGCTTGTTTTTGAGATTCATTCAGCATTTCTTTTTATTTTTTAATGAGCATATATTCATAAAATCTTTTTGTATTTGCCATTTATTTCATAAGGCATAAATTATGTTTCTTGAGATGATTTTTCTCCTCCACAGAATAAGAAGAATAAAGTGCCTTCTACAAAGAACAATATCTTTAAGCTGCACTAAGTGAGCCATAAGAAATAGTTTTTTTATTGCACCAGAACAAATGAACAGGCCAATTATTGAATTGTGGGAAGACCAAATATTAATTCAAATAAATCCAGGTTATCTCTTTTCTGTCAGTTCTTCTTAACCCAGATCTTAAAACACAGCCAGACTAAACTTTATTCCACTGATTTTTTTTCCTCCTTGGTTCATGTTATTACTATCAGTGATGCCAATATCTATAACAAACCATAATGAAATAGTCACACAACTACATTCTTGCATTCTTGTACATCTGATGACATCAATGTGCAAATATCCTCATTCATCCCATGAGATGCTCATGACAGATGTCTGTTAATAATAGCAATTGACTGGGAATTTCCAATTCTCCTAAACCAGTGCTCTTCAAACTTAAAATAGTCATTTTCTGTTGAATAGTTCAACTTGGTCTGTGCTAACCTGAATAGGACTTGCTGCAATCCTGATAATAGTTACCATCTCCAAGTGTAGCAGTCTTGGGAAGGATGAGCACTGGATACTATGGCAATGTATAGATGGCAAAGGAATAAAGTTCATCCTTTTAAAGTATTTATGAAGGAGGTATTTTCACTCTAAAGAAGGGAACATATTCTTGTTCCTGAGAGGCAACTTTTTAACATGATGCAGAGTGTAAGGATTTGTCCAGGCAATCATCAGGAGTCAACACTAAAAAAAATGTAACTATGTCTCCCCTACATTTGGAAAGGCAGAAATAAATGAACAGAAAATTGGAAATTATTTCTTCAGCACTCCACTGAGCACTCAAAACAGTGGGTTTTTTTTTTTAAAAAAAAGATATACTGAATAAGTGGTGGCGTTTTTGACATCTGTCCAAAAGTCCCACATTAAATCATACCCGCAAGTAGCACAACCAATACCTGCATAGCACAACATGCAGAATAACTGCTCTCAACAAGGCAAATATTCCTATTTCCCAGCCAACAAATTTACTTTTGTGCTGATTTATAGCCTACTTTCTGATCCTCTTCTCAAAAAAAGAAAAATTGAATACCAATGCCATCACAATAAAGAGCAATAAAGTATTTTATCAAAATAAAGCCACATCCAATTGAAAAGGGTCTGCCCCAAAATAAAATCCTTGACAACTGACCTAAAAAGGCAAATCACCCAAAGTATTGATAACTTGGCAGGGTAAGAAACACCAAGTCAAAAAGTGTTTCTTGGTGAGGCCCTCTAGTGCAGGAGTCCTCAACCTTGGCAACTTTAAGACTTGTGGACTTCAACTCCCAGAATTTCACAGCCAGCTGGCTGAGGAGTTCTGTGAGTTGAAGTCCACAAGTCTTACTTAAGTTGCCAAGGTTGAGGACCCCTGCTCTAGTGTCTCCCAGATGATAAAGCGCAGGAGAGAAAACCAAAAAAGGCAGTTCCTGTGTTGCTGCTGATATTTTCATTATTGGGGAATGATAATGTGTAAATAGGCTATTTTTGGATAGATCTGACTACTAAACTACCTAACAGCATTCCAGAAATTCAGATAGGTTTTCAATGTGACCTGAATATGTCAGGAAATCTGATGTTTTCTGAATGAGTAGCAAATATTCTGTCATAGCTCTGATTCTTCCATGGGTTTGATAATTGGTTCCCATGCTAGGGTAATATAATTGAGCAGGTTACTGAAATCTCAAAAGCCACTGCTGTAACTCTGTGGCCTTTGTCTTCATTACTTTATGGAGCATATCTAGATCAGCCTTGCTGAGCTTGGCAACCTTTTCCAGATATGGTGGAATTGTAGCTTTCCAGCACAACTGGAGGATGATGCCAGATTTGGAAGGTTAATCACAAGAATAAAGGTATTAGTGTTAATGTTTTATATAAGAAACTTCATCTTCTGCTACTTTTTCATACATATCCTCTTCCTATTTTTGCCACATCATGTACAATCATTTCTGGTTTCTAATGCATATAATTATGTTGCATGTTTGATGCATCTTTGGTTTGTGCAATTTTTAATGAAATCTTATATTTTAATAAAAATAACAAATTTAAAATATACTCTGAAGGTTTGGGGGGGTTATGCGTGTACTAAATATGACTGAAGATATTCATTTTTCTCTCTTCTAATGAATGAGGGATGGAGAATCTCAATATAAATCCCTCTTTCCTCAATTCCTATCATATGTTAAAAAATATGAAGACATGCTATGCCTTCACTGGCAAGAGTCTTCATCAGACAATGACATTTTTTGAAGCTATCCAGACTCAGGTTTTCTGGGACAGTGACCAACAAGTAGTTCAGGTGTGGAGCCAGTGGTCCAAATCTATCAAAAGCTGATCTTCCAGATTTGGGACAAGGCTTGATGCAGAGGTTGTGACCAAAGCAATACTAATCCTCAAGGAACACAAGTGAAAGCAGGTTCAGGGCCAGCAGAAAAACACATCTGGTAGGTCACTTTCTATCCCTGGTCCTACATCAATGGCCATTGGACTACTTCTGGAATACCCGTGGAATATGGATGCATCTCTTTGCTTTGTTCTTTAGTGGAATTCTGGGGACCAACATTCTCTTGATTTATTTCTGTCCGTGATTCTTGGAATTGAAATCAAGGATGCATATTCTTAATGCCATTGCATCAGAACAACAGAATATCCCACAGGTGCATAAATTTTAAGCCATGAAGTACCCAGTGTCTTTTGCTAAGGCATGTTAGCATTGACATAATTATGCAATTACTTACCTAAATATGGATTTCAGAACTACTATTAAGTATCCTTTTTTAAAAAAAAACATTTTTTACATTTCTAAGAGTATAATTGTCTCCATCATAAGTATAAATTAGTTGAAAAGATTAATAATTTAGCTGCCAAAAATCATTAAAAGAAACAAAATATGAGGTTATACAATCACTTGTTCTATTTAAAAGTATGCTGACAGACTTACTGCTGCATATTGGAGTGCTTATAATAGAAATAGGAGCATTATCCTAGATAGCAGATACATGGGTTTAGGGAAGCACAAAACATTTCACTCGAGCTCCAGGCTGGAAAAGCTAGATCATGCAAAAATAAAAGGATGATTCTTGGGTATAAAGATGGGACAGTTTGTAATGTCTTCTAGTAAACATCAAAGTTGCTGACTTATTACAATTATAAAGAGAAAGCTGGATCAATAGATCTTTGATTTGCTAATTATCCACATAGTTCTGATTTATGGCACTGGATGCTTGATTCTTGCACACAGATTTGTATTGCACAACTTTGCTGAATTCTGATGTACTTTCCATTTCTTGGGTGAGTGATAAAGTGTAAGACTGAAATGCCGGATGCTTGTATATTACTGTATTTTTCAAAGATAGCATTAGAAAATTTAAGTACCTTAGCAGAAAAAATGGGTGAGTGAACCAAAAAGCAGAGTGGTCTTAACATCTGCTTAATTTTTTTCTTATGGTTGTTAACTTGCCTTAAACTTTTTGACATAAATAATCAGAGTAACTTGTCTTCCTGAAGTCATGCTCATATTATTTAAATGCAAATTTCACTTATAACCTAAATTACAGTATGCAAATTGGCAGCAGTCCTCCAGTTGAAAGAATTTTTGGCTCATGGTTTGGGGCTTAATTTCTCCTCCTTTTTTAAAAAAGTTAAAGTTTACCATTTAATTATATTTTTAAAAAGGAAAGTTTAGTAGCACTGTTTCAACAAGTTAATTAGCATTTACAATGGATTTTCGTTGCAAATATAAATTTCTGGTGTATCTGCTTTAAATGGATCTTTCCATCTTTTGAATGAATTCTGTAGCCCAGAGAAGGGAAAATGTTTGGGTGCTAATATGACAAATGTAAACTGTATGTTATTTCACAATGATTATTTTAGAACTTGAAGTAATGTTAAGAAAGATGTGTTAAGATGAAAGGAGACATAACTGTTGGGGAGCATTTCTGCGATTAACATGAATGTTTGCCACAGTAACAGTTACAATTCTATATATAATTATATAATGAAACACACTTATACAACTATCATATTTTTTGAACCTATTGTGTTTTGTATAAATAAATCCCATATTTCATTATATTTATCCACACAAAGTCTATGTCTATAGGCAATCTGTTCATAAAAAGCAAATAAAATCAAGTCTTCAATCCATTGAGTAAATGGGGCCAAACATATATCTTTCCAATGTTACAATATCAGTCTTTTAGTTATAGTAAGGGCATGAAGAATCCATTTACATTCCCCAGTTGTTAAATTCCATGTACTAGGTATGTAATTCAAGAGATTGTTGTCCTCTGCAAATTTTAGCTTTTGTCATAGTCACATTTATATAAAGGTAAAGGTTTCCCCTGTTCAGTTGTGTCCAACTCAAGGGGGTGGTGCTCGTCTCCATTTCTTAGCCAAGGAAGCCAGCATTGTCTAAAGACACTTCCGTGGCCAGCATGACTATACACCGAGGAGAACCGAATGCTGTTCCCTTCCCATTGAAGTGGTACCTATTTATCTACTTGCATTTGCATGCCTTCAAATTGCAATTTGGCAGGTGCAGCACCGGGATCTTGAATCCAGGCTGTCAGCTTTCCAGCTGACAAGCTCAGCATCTTAAACCGCTGAGCCATCACATACCCTTTATATACATCTATATAGCCCTATGCTTTCTTGCAAAATATATAAGTATAGGATATTGTAATAACACATTTTAAGGAAGCATTATCCTTCTTACATCTCCAGCCAAATGTTGTCTTAGACAATCCTTTTCTATACAGGCATAATGGAGTCCAATACATTCTATTTTTATTGTTGTAATAATTGTAATTTGAGACCTGTTGACATTCCTGCAACAGAAGTTAAGACATACTCTCATTGCCTAGGCATTATGGGAACCTTCATTCTACTCATCACTTAATTTTTGCATATCAAACAGGTACATTGATAACAAATATCTATAAAAATTAATGGTAGGGATCTTTTTTAGTCTTAAAAGATTTAACTAGTTGTTCTAGTATCTCAGGTGTGCCAGAAGCTGTAAATGCTGCTGGTCCAAGTAATGTTTAGGGGACTGGAAGCTAAAACATATAAAGAACGGTTGCTAGAATTGGGTATTTCTAGTTTAATGAAGAGAAGGATGAGGGGGGA